CCGGTGCCTGGCTTCCCTTCGTTTTTGAAGTATAGTTTATCCAGATATAGAATTCCTGGTTATCAGTATTTTTCCAGTATTTTTAAATGTGTCATTTCACTACTTTCTTACCTCCATCGCTTCTGAGGAGGAATCAGACTCCCTTGTATGAGACAACTTTCCTCTCTTCAAGGGTCTCTGTTTTTCAGCTGTCGACAGTTTGATTACAATGTTATCTATGTGGATCTTCTTGTGTTTTCCTTTTTGGAGTTCACTGAGATTCTTGGATGTATATACTTATGTCTCTGATAAAATTTGGGGAGTTTTGACCATTATGGCTTCAAATACTCTTTCTGCCTCATTCTCTCTCTCTTCTTCCTCTGCGACAACTATTACTTGTATAATGATTTGCTTAACAGTGTTCCACAGGTCTCTTAGGATCGCTTCATTTTTCTTAATCCTTTTTATTGTCGGCTCCTTAGATGACAGAGTTTCAATTGACCTATCTTCCTTTTCACTGACTCTTTCTTCTAGTTCAAATCTGCTATCAAGTTCCTCCAGTAAATTTTTCATTTCAATTTTTGTACTTTTTGACTGCATCATTTCTATTTGGCTGCTTGTAACCATTTCTGTCTTCATTTGGTGAAACACTGGCCTCATACTTTCCTTTCATTATTTGTTGTTATTGTTGTTGGCAGTACTGGGGTTTGAATTCAGAACCCCATGCTTGCGAGGCAGGTACTCTACTGCTTGAGCCATGCCTCCAGCCCTCCTTTCATTTTTTTGATGTGATTTTATTTAGTTTTTTGAACATATTTATAATAGCTGCTTTAAAGTCTTTGTCTAAAGGAATGGGGATGTACCTTAGTGGTGGAGTGCTTGCCTAGATGCACAGGGCCTGGGTTCTGTGCCCAGCACCACAAAATACAATCTTTGCATGTAAATCCAATAAATGGGCTTCCTTCTTCAAGTAAGGCTTCTACTGATTGCTATTTTTCTTGATGGTACAGGAGTTTGAACTCAGAGCCTCACACTTGCTGGGCAGATGCTCTACAGTCACACCCCCAGCTCTTTTTTGATCTTCTTAGTTTTCATATAGAATCCTGTTAACTTTTTGCCCTGCCTGACCTGGGACCATGATCCTTCTAATCTCTACCTCCTGAGTAGATGGGATTACAGGCAAGAGCCACTGCACCTGGCTCCATGCACTGGTTTTTAGCCATAATTTTATTTTTTCTTTCAAATTGATACATAATAATTGTACATATTGATGTACTACAGTGTGACAATTCACATGTGTATACATTGGATAAGGATCAAATCAAAATAATTAGCATTTTCATGTCATAATTTTTAAAAATTTTTATTTTAAGTTTCATTTATCTTTAATTGATTTGAGGGTGGGGGCTGTGGGTTGAACCTCAGGGCTTTGTACATGCCAGACAAGCTACACCCTCGCCCCCCTCTCACCATTTTATTGTGCTTGGACCCTTCAAACTCCTCTCTTCCAGCTCTTCATAAAATATGGACTAGATTTTTGTAAATCAGAGTCACCCTGCTGTGCTATGGAACACTAGACCCTATTCCTCCTATATAACTGCATTTTGGTACCTGTTTTCTAACCTACCTCCATCTTTCTGCCCCTATCCTTCCCAGCCTCTAGCAATGCTATTCTACTCTCTTCTTTGAGATCAACTTTTTAGCTTGTATCATCTTATTTCCTTCGTATCTTAGGAATTTTGTTGCTGTTGTTGAAAGTTGGACATTTGAAGTAATATGAGGTTTAACTGGAAATTAGATTCCTCCCTCTCCCCAGCTTGCTGTCATTGCTACAGTTATTGCATTTTTCTTCTTCTTCTTCTTTTTTAGTGATGTTCCTGAACTCATTCTGTAAAGCCTATATTCTCTGTCATGTGAGCTCCAAAGCCTCTGCTCAGTTAGCTTACTGGCCTACTTATGACTGGCTAGAGATTTCCTTAAATGCCTGGCACTAATAATGTCATTTCACAAATGTTGCAGCTCAACTACAGAAAGCTTATGTAACCTTCCCAAATTCTCAGTTAGTAAAAAGAGAGCTGGGGCTTGAACCCCATTCTGAATGACCCCACAGCACAGAACTTCCCCCAAGCTTTCAAACCAGGGTCCCTAGAGGACACATGCTTGGTGAGCCTTGTGGTCTGGGGAGGGTAACCCAAGGATTTAGGTTCCTCATCTCTCCTTGACCCTATAAAGCCTTTCATCTACCATGACGTTCTGCAGTTCATGATCTGACTCTGGAACTCTCCACCACACCAACACGCTCACAGACACAGCGCTATGTGGACCCTGCATGTTTTGAGAATGAATTTGGCCATTCCATCACCTCTGCTGCCTCTAGTGCCACATCATTTTGATGACAGACTTTTCCAACATGAAGAGGAAATGTATTTTTTACCATAAAGATTAAACTTTTTAATCTTTAAGCCTAAGAAGATTACTACAAGGCAGACATCCCTATCACTACCACCTAAGCCAAGAAGTAAAACTTGTTTGGGTGCTGGTGCCCACGCCTGTAATCCAAGCTACTCAGGAGGCTGAGATCAGGAGGATCACGGTTCAAAGCCAGCCCAAGCAAATAGTTCATGAAACCCTATCTCAAAAAACCCTTCACAAAAAAGGACTGATGGAGTGGCTCAAGTGGTAGAATGCCTGCCTAATAAGTATGAAACAGAGTTCAAATCCCAGCACTGTCAAAAATTTTAAAAAGTAGAACATTCCCAGCTATCCCAGAAGTCCCTGCTTGGATTCCACCCAATCACAACTCTCTCCCCCTGAGTTAAACATGATTCAAATTTTTATAGTAATCTCTCAAGCATTTCTTCACAATAAAAACCCATGTATGTATCCCTAGAACTAATAGTTTAGTCTTCCCATTTTTTTAATTTTTAAAATCTGGTCTTTTTTAAATCCTCCATTTTTTTTCTTTCCTTACAATCTATCTATAAAAGAATCCAAGTAGTAGGATTGGGGGGCATAGCTCAAGTGGTAGCACACTTGCCTACCATGTGCAAGAACCTGGGTTCAATCCCCAATACCACACACACACACACACACACAAATCTACGAAGTGTGGCCTATAGAATATCCCAGTTTGGATTTGTTAGCTGCACCCTCATTGGATGGTCAGCATGTTCTCCTCTGCATTTCCTGCAAACAGGCAGCGGGTGGCAAAGTCTTAGCCAAGTTCAGGTTTATCTGTGGCAAGATTCTAGAAGTTATTCTTTTATAGCAGGTGCAAAATGGCTGATTGTCTCTCTTTTTATGATGGTAGCAGTCATTGATGCTCATTACTTCACTGGGGATTGAACACTAGTGATGTTCTATTATTTATTTTTCTTTTATTAACTAGGATGCTTTATAAAGATATGCACCAAGACAGATATGGTAGCACACACCTGTAATTACAGCATTTGGGAGGCTGAGGTAGGAGGACGGTGAGTTTAAGTAAAGCCTGGGCTACATGGCAAGACCCCATCTCAAAAAACAAAACCAACAAAAAAAGATATGAACTGTAATAGTGAGTAGCCACAGAGTAGGACCTCTCAGGATTGTAGTTCATCTTAAAAAGTCAGTAAAGCCTCATTCCTTCCCGTAATTTAGTAGGTTTTAAGAGGGAGGATTAGATCCTTATCATCCTCCAGAAGTGGTCAGTTAGACTTTTGGTATCATCACAACCTCAATCTTTGATGATTTTCAATCATGGTAATTATTGTCCTCCATGAGCCTTGAATCATTCCATTTTAGTCAGCAGAAGCCTTTTCAAATTGTGTCCTGCACATCCTTTTGACACTCAGTGAATAAAATACCTCAGTAGTTTATGCTGACATTTCCAATCCAAGTGTAGAACAGCTTTTATTTAATTATGTCTATATATCAATACAGTTGTATCTTCTTTCTCCTATGAACATATTTGTTCTCAAGAACACAGGATGGTGGTGCACACCTGTAATCCCAGCACTCAGGAGGCTGAGGCAAGAGGATAGCAAGTTTGAGGCCAACCTGGGCTATATAGTGAGCCCTTGTCTTTAAAAAAAAAAAAAAAAACAACACAGGAGAAAATAAAAATAAACTACCTGGGTTGGGGTAGCTCAGCTCGCTGATAGAGTGCTTGCCTCCTATGCAGGAGGCCCTGGGTTCCATCTGAGCACCGCAAACCCCCAACTCTCCCATGAGCTTGATCTTGGATTACACCAAGTCTCAGAGCAGCACTACCCACAGCATCACCACCAAGCCAATTACTAAAAATGGCTGAACACTTTTTGGACCAGCTTCCTCCCGTCCCTCATCTTTTAGCATCCATATCCTCACTGTCAGAGGATCTGCTCATTGCAGGCCATGTTCTTTCCCGTGTAGCTGCTCCTCCCAGAAGCACCAACTGTGATGCTTCTCAGGCATTTCATCCGCTGCAGCTTATTCTTTAGTAAAAGGTGACATTTTGGTGCCCTTTATAAAACTTCAAAGTCAGTTTTGTTGATCTCAAATTCTTGATTCACATTTTCCGTTAAGTATCTTAAATATGTTTCTCTATTCCCCTCCCCTCCCCTTCCCTACATTCTCCTCTCTCCCCTCCCCTCTCCTTCTCTCTCCCCTTCCCTCCCCTCCCCTACTCTTCCCCTCCCTTTTATCTTCTCCTCTCCCCTCCCCTCTTCTCTACCTTCTCCACTGTCCTCTCCTCCTCTCCCCTTTTCCCATCCTCTTCTGTCCTCCTCTCCACCTTCTCTTCTCCCCTCCCTTCTCCTCTTCCCTCTCCTCTCTTCCCTCCCCTCCCCTTCCCTCTCCCCTACCTTCTCCTCTTCCCTCTCCTCTCCCCTCCCTCCCCCCAGATTTTAAATTATATTTTAAAGGTCCTTAGATGTTTTCTTATGGAAAATTTCTTCGAATATTTTATTTGAAGCATTACCGGAAAGCATTTTGCTTTCCAAATCGTAAACATTTTCAGAAACAAAACAGACTTTAGAAATGGGCCCACTTTTTCTGCTTACCTCGAAGACTCTGAACAGGCGGTATCGTATGTCATAGTCAGTCCACAGGACCATGAACACAGCGTTGAGTGAGATGGTGCCTATCATGATCAACTTGAAGATCCTACTGTTAACCACTCTCCTCACAAACACCTGGCACTCTTCATCTTTCCTCCTGTCCAAAGGCCATGCAGAGCAGAGCTGCGGTTATCATTCCAAAGAGCTCAGCCCCCACTACGCCCAACTTTCTGTAAGGAGGAGGGTCTGCTCTGCCCTCCTGTGAACAGAAATTTCAATGACAATGGCCAGGGAATGAATGACCACTGACACATGCACACATGTCCCCTGGGTACTCAGTTCCCTCTCCCTGAACCCCGAAAAAGAACGGTCACCCTTATGCCAAAGAAAGAATCATCTTTGTTTATTCATTCAATTAATTTTTATTGACTACTGCCAGGCAATACAGTAAGCATGGGGACACTGTGTGACACAACTAAACATCCTCAGTCAGGTAGGAAATTCTGATAATAATGAAATAATCACCCTTATAAATGCTTACAGATCAATGATTTAAAAAACTGAACACCAGAGAGAAAATGGGCACATAGTCAATTCATGAAAGAAAAAGAAAAAGGTCGAAATCTTTCCCCCAGGGCTTAAACATGATCATACTAATCCTGGCAAGAGTGGCGTGTGACAGCCTTCCCCACTGTGACCACCAGGGAAGTCCAGTGATGTTCACGTCCTCACTCCTGGTCACACCTCTATCCCCAGGCAGACAGTGACTGTGACTAAAGATGTTCATCCCAGTATTATTTGACAGTAGTGAGCACTTGAAAACAATTTAAAATTTAATAAAAAATGCTGGCTCAGTAAATTATAGCACATTCATCTCAAGAAATACCAACACTAAAATACGTCTATACATTTTTTTCATGGTTTAGAAAAACGTTTATGATCTGGCAGAGAGCAAAATAGAAAAAGAAGATATAAAGTTGTCAACTCAAAATTATCTCCTGGTGGCACATGCCTGCAATCTCAGCTACTAATAAGGCAGAGAGAGATAGGAGGATCACAGTTCAAGGCCAGCCCAGGCAAAAAGTTAGCAAGATCCTATCTCAAACAACAAGCTAGGCATGGTGGCGCATATTTATAATCCCAGCTATTCAGGAGGCAGAGATAAGATCACAGTGTGAGGCCAGCCTAGGCAAAAGTACAAGACTTTATCTAAAAAATAATCAAAAAAGCAAAACGAGCTTGGGGACATGGAAGGGCTAGGTAGAGACCCTAAATTCAACTCCCAGTACCACACACAAAAAAAAAAATCTCACCCTTGCAAAACTGGGTAGAAAAAACTCAGCGGGAAATATGCCAGATTGTTGAGAGTATCTGCCATGGATGGTGAGTTTACAAGTTGTTCTTATGTATTTACATTTATCTGCACTTTGTAAATGTTCACAAAGACTATTACTTTCTCCCCATTATAGGTAAAAAATGAACATTGTCATAAAGGTAAAAAAATAGAGAGAGAATGTAACCAGGCGTGACGGACTGAGGCAGGAGGACTGCTTGAGCCTACGAGTTCAAGATCAGTCAGGGCAACAAAGACAAACACAAAAAAACAAAAACCCCAGAATGTGTGTACCTTTATGATTTTTTAAAAAGATGTATCTTTTTTGGGGGGAGGGCAGCACTAGGGACTGAACTCAGGGTGCTCTGCCACTGGAGCCATGCCTCCAGCCCAAGATGTGTAATTTTTATTATCTGCTTTTAGAAGGGGGCTATAGTAAAAAAATTCACAAATAATAAATGCCTTCTGATTATCTAATAAGGAGTAGGAAAAGACCACACTGACTCAAACTCATCATTCAGTCTGCAGGTCAGTAACAATGTGCCAACCTCACCAACCAGAGAAACTGGACTGTCCCGGACGTGCTCCTGCGTCTGAGAAGTAGACTGGTGTCTGTGGAGAGGCTGGGAGAACACACTACCCTTAGCACATTTCTTAATGGAGATAAGAGTATTTACTTAAAGTTCTTGAATCTTGAGTAGAAAGCTTCTGACGCACTATCAAACAGTGAACTGGAAGCAACTCTCGAAAGTCCCCTCTCATAGAAAGACATTTTCCAAATGTTCAATTTTTACTCCTCGCTTTTATCATGCAACCAAAAATCTCTGTATAGGGATTTCCTTGGAGTCTTGGATTCCACAAGGCAGCAGAGAAGGGTCCACAAACGGAATCCCTGCTTTGTGAGGTCACTCTTGACCATTCAGTAGTCAGCAGTCTACAAGAATGAGGAGACTGGTGGTGGGCCTGTCCTTGGATCCCTCTTCCCAAGGAGAGGATGGGTGCCTCAGAGAAGCAGGAGGTCACAACACCCAGCATGAGGAAGGCATTAGAGGTGGGCCAAATTTCCCCCTTCTTCACGAAGTGCCTCTTCTGGTAGACAAAGTCCCTTGATAAGGTGTTAGGAAGAGTTAAGGGTCAAGTTAAGAGGGGAAAAAAAAAATAAAGTTCTCTGGGGTTCTAACACATCCAGGGCTAACACCAGAACCATCTGGAAAAAAAAGATGGGGATAAGTTTGGGGTAGGGGCAAAAGAAGCAGGAGTACCAGGGAAGGGAGAATAGGCCCTGTGTTGATTGGAGAATGTTGTGTACAGATGAACCATCTCACCAGAGTGTGAGGGACGAGTCCAGGGGCTAGGGCTGTTTAGGTACAAGAGTTATAGAGATTTTTGCTCTGTTCAACTGTCAGGATTACTATATCCTGCTCCTATCAGCTTTCAAGGCAAACCAACAGAGAGACCTGGCCGTGTATTTTATTAAATGTATAGTGGCTAAACTGGTGAATTTCCTGGAAACTAAGTTCTTGGGCCACGAGAAAGTAAGGTGTTTTTATTTTGTTTTGCTGGTACTGGGGTTTGAACTCAGGGCATCAGGCTTGCTAGGCAGGTGACCTATCACTTGAGCCACTCTCCAGTCCACCATTTTTGCAGGGCTGGAGACTGAACCCAGGGTATTGTGCATGCTATGCAATCACTCTACCACTGAGCCACATCCCCAGCAGTTCCTAGTATTCTAAGAATGGAAATATTCTTAAAGGCAATCAGTACACTGAACTGGAAATACCATTTATTCCCAGTAAGACAGAAGAGTAAGCTCTGGTGTTTTATTACACAGTGGGTGTAGTTAACAATATTGTATCATATAACTCAAAATAGCTAGAAGAGAAGACTCTCAACGCTCTTAGCACAAAATATAGATGTTTGAGATGCTGGATAACCAAGTATATGACTGGATAAAGAAAATGTGGTTGGGTTGAGGAGGGAAGATTGAGAAGAGCTGGTGGGGGTGATCTAACCAATGAACAATGTAAGTCTATTTGAAATTGTCACTATGAATATATGTACAATGAATATATGCTAATTTTTAAAAAACCAATGAATTTAAAAAAACAAAATGTGGCACATATATACAATGGAGTATTATTCAGTCATTAAGAAGAGTGAAATGAGGTTTACAGGAAAATGGCTGGAACTGCAGATCCTCATGCTAAGCAAGATAAGCCAAGCTCAGAAAGACGAACATCACGATTCTGCCCATCTGCAGAATCTCAGCATCGAAAACTAGCAACATGGCTTGATTGTAAAAGGGGGGCTGTTTGACGAGGGAACCAGTGGGGGGAAGGAAAGAAGAGGGTGATGGAGGGGTGAATATTACACACACATACACAAATATGTGAAAATAGCACAGTGAGCCCACCAAAACCTGTTAAAAAGGAGAGAGGAGGACGGAGGGTGACTAAGAATGAGTAATACAGATGGGGTAAATTATCAAAGTACATTATATGCATCTTGTAAATATCACAATGAAACCCTTTTGTACAATTTATGGTACTGGTGCCAGTGGCTCATGCCTGTAATCCTAGCTAATCAGGACGATCACCATTCAAAGCTAGTCCAAGTAAATAGTTTGCGAGACCCTAGCTCAAAAATACCCAACAGAAAATAGGGCTGGTGGAATGGCTCAAGAGGTAGAGCACCTGCCTAGTAAATGTAAGGCCCAGTACTACAAAAATTAAATTAAAAAAAAAAAACTAAAAACAAAAGGGCCGGGGACTTGACTCAAGTGGTGGAGTGCTTGTTCAGAAAGAAAAAATATCATTAATGAATATCATTAATGTTCTGGATATTCAAACATTAGCCATCCCCCCCACTTGGGAATCAGCAACCTCTAACTTCCCTCTTGCTTTCCTTGGTCACATGTCCCCTAATGCCTGGGACTGGGGGGAGAGCGCCTAGCCAGCCTCCACATTAGTCTCCTGTGGCAGCTGCTGACACAGCTGAGTCAGCTGTCCCTCTCCATCTCCACCTGCCCAAAGATGTCAATATGTCTCATCCCCTGTGGCACCCGAAGTGTGTGCTATGTATGTGACCAATGGCTCACAGGTCCCTGTACTGGAATACCTGCACATAGTGGGATCTCATCTCAGGAACTCCAAAGGCGCACACTGGGAAGAACAGAGAGGACAGTACAAATGTAAAGAATTCTTTAGCAATGCTTCATGGGGTGAGGAAAGACAGCAAGCTGAAAGCAGCAGAGAACAGCCCAGTAGTCAGTGTCTGTCCCATATCAGCTCACCCCACCACAGCTGAATGTGGTTTCCCAAGTCACTGATGAAGACCGGCCAGCTGCGTGAGTAGAAAGCTCCAGGAAATCAGAGATGACAAGCTTATCCAGGGCCTCCTCTGATTGTCCAGGTCCTCACTCGGAGAAGTGGGCAGGGAGCATCCTGGTGTGAGAAGCTCAACGCCACCTCTTCTGCCCTGGAAGCTCACACTGGCCTGGCCCGGGCAGCAGTACTTCAGCTGCATGTAGCTGGACAAAATCAGCGATCAGATACTCTACAGAAATCTTAGAGGCTGAAACCACCATGAGAAAGGGACTAAGGTAGAATGTAGATAATTACAGGAGATGAGCCAACTGGGAGTACAACACATATATGCATGGAAATACCACGAGGAAATGCCCTGCATAGCTACCTTTATCTCAAACTAGCAAAAATGTCATGTTTTTGTTTTTTCTCTTTTCTCTTTGAAAAATCAGAGTACAGGAAGGAGGAACAGGTCCTGCCCAGGGTGGAGGGTGGCACCAGTGGGAGGGGGAGGTGGTGGGGAAAGGGGGTAGGAGGGTGAATACAGTGTGCAAAATATGTGTACACGTGTATGTAAGTGCAGTAATGATGCCTGTTGTAACCATTGCATGGATGGGGGTGGATAAAGGGGAGCAGAACAGGGGGTGATTCAAGTTTGATGTAGTTGATATATTGTAAGAACCTTTGTAAATGCCACAATGTACCCCACACAGCAACAATAAAGGAAATATAATATATATATATAAAGTCAGCAATCAGCTTGGTGACTCGTCTTGTAACCAGAGTCATGCCTTTATGGTCCCAAAGGTCACAAATCACAGCCAAATGCTCTAACAGTTTGTGATGTTTCACAGGAAGTCTTACAAAACTAAGAGTCCAGCTAGTGTGTTTTTTGAATGCTGGATTAGAAGCGTGAAGGCTGTGCCACGCTAACACTGTAGTGCAACTGCTGAATACACTGGCGGAGATCAGGCTCATCCTCAAACATATACAGGCTGCTGCTTTTTTGCCTTTAGCAAAATTATCAAGAACCATGCTTATTCTATTTATCCAAAGATTTCCTAAATCAAATCAAGTTAGAAGGTAACCATTATTTCTAGAACTTTCATTAATTTTAGAAAAAGACACTGTCAAGTGTGCTAATCCTGGTTTGTTATCTGTAGAGGTCATATAAGGGGTCAAGGTCATGTCTGTTTAATTCCTCTCTACTCCAATGATCATTTAGAAAGAAAATGGAGGGAAACCAAAGCTTACCACATCAGAGAAACCACTGTCATCACGCAAAAATTTGGAACAGACTAGAACTTGGGGGCCTCCAACTCTGACAATGTCTCTTTCAAGTTGCAAAGTCAGTTACTTGAAGCAAGTCTGGGGATTCCATCTGTGGGAATTTACCACCCTAACTATTTCCTCTGACTCCTGATACAGGCTCTTTGATTCTCCATAGTAAGTTTATGAGTTCCAGCACACACAACACCCTCAACATGGACCTCATGTCAAACCGTCATGTAGATACTAATTAGTAACTGTGTTCCCAGGTCTTCACCGCTGTAATGACAGCAATATCCTGCTTTCTCCACTATTCTGTATGTGGTGTACATAACTGTCAAATCTAGATTCTCAGACTTACACTCAGAGTAGGGGAAAAGGAGTCCATCATTCATGGTGCAGTGGAACGGGCTGAAGGGCAACACAAGGAAGCAAACAAATCCAGAAGGCAGGACAACTGTTTTTATACATCAATTACATGGGGAAAGGGAGAGAGAGGAGTGCCCGCTCTAGGTCTAGAGAGAGTAAAGAGACAGGACAACCAGCTACAATGGGTGGGCTTCACGTGGCTTCTGACTAGAACAAAACGCTGGCCAGAGACATGCTTGACCTTCAAAGTCATTTGATTTTACCTGGGTACTATGGTTTATTTTGTTAGATATGATAATAGCATTACAGCTGATAGAACACAATAACCGTATTTCCCTAGAAATGCTTACTGAAGGGTACAGAGGTGAAATGACATGCTATCTGGGATTTGCTTTTAAACAGTTCCGCAAAGAAAATGGAGACAGGATATGAAGGAAATGGGCAAAATCTTGGCAACCATTACCTCTGGGTAATCAGTGCGTAAGGGTTCAATGCACTATTCACACTACTTATGAGAATGTTTAACTTTTTTCATTAAAAATTTCATGTAAAAAGCTGAAGTACTGAGCTACAAATCTTTGTAATAAAATGTATAAAAGATCCCAACCTATAATATAGGGAAAAAATTATAAAAATGCACAGTTTTGCCTTTTCCTTTGAAACAGTCTAAGAAACAGAAGTTACAGTGTTAGGGCTCGAGATTCCCCCAGTGGCCATAAGCCTGGGTGGCTCTCCTCCCCCTCCTCATTCTCTCCACACCCACAAAGCACACTGACCAAAGCCACCTCTGCCTGGCCCACAGAACCAGCAAGGCCCTGTGTTCCCATATGGGGCCAGAGTGGGATAAGGAGGGCAAGGTTTGCTGCTTGTAACAGAATCACTCTTCTGGCCCCTCAAGTGAGGTGTCTTCCAAAGATGATTCTAGTTAAATTCTGAGGTTGCAGACCCTAGCTCAACGGTCAAAACCTGCAAATGATGAAAAAACCCCTCACTTCCTCCGTGACTCAGTAAGTCAGATAACAGGTGAGAGGTCACTGTGACTCTGAGTACTTGTATGGCCATATCTTGCTACAAGCCATGGACAAGACAGTTGTCCTGTCCTTCAACAACCTGTATGAATAGTAAAAACGCAAGACAGCTCTCCCAATTTTTGTGACTTTTGTAATATGATTAACAACTTAAGTAGTAACAGCAGGTAAAATGTAAACCAATTTAGCTTCATAAGAATTATTATATAAACCCACTATCTGCACAGGGCTTAATTCCTTTTTTTTAACCTCATAACTATTCTCTCACATGCACCTGTAAAGTGATTTTGAATTTCTGGGTTATAAAATGTGTAAATAGTCCCCTATCCTGATTTCTGGTCTTTGAGAATACCATTTCTCTTTTAAAATAATGTTAATATAATTAGCTGAGTGGTTTTATCTTCTGTATATGAACAGATGTAATGAAAAATGCCTCAGGCTGGAGTTTAAATCATCTTGTATTTAAGCAATGATTGTACAAAATGTGTAAAGGTGAATTAGTTTACAACCGCATCTGCTCATGTAAGTTGCCTTCGAAACACACTGCAGCTAAGACGTGTCAAATTGTATATGCATTTTGGAAGAAATCACACAGAAGCAGCTGCTTTTTCAATAAACTTGGCCAGTCTCACATCTCTTTTGGTCAAGCCGCCACAGTCATGTGAGGTGAGCGTTATCTGGACCTGAGAAAGAGAAAAGCAGGTTTAAAACCATGAGCAACAATTCATGGAATTCTCTTTGGGTGATTCAGATATCAATCTATAATTCAGCAGTGAATCTGAGAATTGGGAGGGGGGATTAAATTATTTGGGAAATACTATGCTATGAATAAACAGAACATTTCCAAAACCCAGTGAACTCCAGGGGCACAGTGTGCATCAGGCCGGGCCAGCAGCCACCCATGATGTAAAGGATTCTCATCCCATGAGGCTTTGGCTGCCAGACTCTCAAGCCTTGTGTCTTGGGGAAGAAAGGAGAGACTGAGGCTCCAGTTAAATTCCCATTACTTGACTTACACCAACTGTTTTCAGTCCACTGAGGAAAACCAAGCTATCAAATGCAGTACCTGAGCAGTGATGTTGGGAAGACACATTTCCAAATTAGGGAAGGGTGGGCATAGAATGTTGCTGCTTAACAAAAACATTAAAAAGCAGGAAAAAAATTAAGGGCAAAGAGAGGCAATTAGAAAAGTTTATCTCAGTACTAGGGTGCTTTTGAATTACTAACCCCCCCCAAAAAAAATCACAAGAATGGTAAAATTCTTTTTTTTAAGTGGGCTTTCAAAGAGAAAATAAACCCTCAAAGAAACCTGGACGGTAAGACATTCCACATGGTGTGACGATAAACGCCAGGACAGTTTCATGAAGACGTGATTCTTCTCCCTGTGCCCATTCAAAATTTTTAGTCTGTCTTTGTCTGAGGAGCCAGAATTTAATAAACACTTATTATGTAAAGTACAATGCACGAGAAAATGTATTTCAATGAGACAAATAATGCCATCCTATATATTTGCTTTTAATGTTTTTTTTTACTAAATTACTTTCAATTTAAAAGTTTACCTGTTAGGCTGATATCCAAGTTTAATTTAGGAACCTAGTTTGGCCCACCTTTTTCTATTAGTTTTAAAAGACAAGCATGAAAATGAAGAGCTTGTTCACTGTTCCTATGAGCAGACCTAAAATTTGTTACTGATCTTCAACAACACACAGGCATTCTCTGAGAGTCAAAGAATAAATCCTTCCTTGAGCACGATGACATTCGGCTGCATGAGACAGGAGAGAGAGGCAGAAGAAAGTTTCTTCAGTCCCATAACTAGCGTGACCCCGACGCAGTTACCTTGTTGTACACATTGGCCCATTCTGGGTGATGGTTCATCTTCTCAGCTTGGAGAGCAACTCGAGACATGAAACCAAAAGCCTGTGCAAGACAAAGTCGGGAGTAGTCAGGACACTGTCCTCCGCTGTGTGCTGACGGGGCTCCGGAGCAATCACCCAGAGAAAGCCAAGCAAGGGTCCTGAGGGACAAGGGTCCTGAGGGACGGAGGTCTGGAGAAATCAAAAACCAAAGGCCTGCCGCTGCGGCCTGGGTGCAGCGCACTGCCCTGCTGCTCCGGTGAAAACAATCAGCCTCAAATAAACAAACCAGGAAATTGGTCTCACCCAGTGACCTGTCTGGACTGTTTAATTGTCCTCAGGACAAGACTCCAAAATAGCACAGGAGCAATTTCCCTTCAACCCGGTGCCCTGGGTCTCACTATTTGGCCCCAGACCTCAGGAGCCTCTTTGCTAGCTGCTCTTTTCCTTTTGTTTCGGTGACTGGGTCGCTAAGGCCTCGAGCAAACTACAGAAAAAGGTCTTCTGAGTGTGACACGAACAACAGCACTGGCAGAAATGTGCCACTTCACCCTACCTCCAGGCAAGATGGCAGGGAATGAAGGCCTTTTCACGCCAGCTAGCATGAAGGAAAAGTCTGCCCTGCCTGCTCAGGGCTCACTGGCTACTGCCCACTGTGCTGTTTTGAGGTGACTGTCGCCTGCCTCAGGGCAGAAGACAAGCCCAGACACAAGCTAAGGACTGCTAGCTACCCAGCTGAGGACAACATGTGGGCCTCTGGGGCCCTGTCTTCATGCCACACAGAAAGTAGAAAGCAGAAGAAAAACTTGTTCTGAGAAGGAAACAGGTTTGGGGTTTTTTGTTTGTTTGGTTGGTTTTTTTTTTGCTTGCTTTCCAATTTTTACGAGGGTAATTACAAACAAAAGAAGAAATCTGTCTCCATTGGGTCTAAAAGGCAGAAACACTTAGTAAGGCTAAGGTAATGACACATTAATTACAAAGTTACAGAGGAAATCCCAGGGCAGTTCCTATTACACCCACAGAAATAAATGTTTAACTTCATCACCCCATCCAGAAAGACCAATATGATGTTAGTTGTGCTGTTTTTTGGATGGCCAAATGACATTAAGAGCACATTTCCTAGTCAGCAGTAAGAAATATAAGCAATGCCACTTTAAACAATTCTGTGTCATTTGTCCTGACTCCTATCTCAGAGCCAATTTTATTTTGGGATGAAGATTTCCATTTTGACATTCAAGCCTGAAATTCTTCCCTGTTGGGAAAAGGGTGAAGTTCAAGCAAAACCAGTGAACCACAGATGGAATTCTCCATGGAAAAGCAATTCCCTCTCCTGGCCCTTCTCGTTCAGTACCTGATTCTCCAAATTACATGGAGGATGCAGGTGTGATAAGACAGTCTAATTATTAGAACACAAAGTTGACCTATATTAAATACTACACAAGGAGAATTTCTTCTCCACCTCAGTGCCTGGTTCCTGTTTAGCACTAGAATGTGTGACAGACCAATCATTGTCCATGACAGAAAGTAATACAGTCGTTAAGGGCCTGGCTTTTGGGTCAGGGAGTCCTGGATTCAAATTCTAACTCTACCATTTAACTGTCATGCAACTTAACTCCAAACCTTGGTTTTCTTATAAACTCATGTAATTACTCTAGCACAAGGTGAGACAAGGGGTATAAAGGAATTAAAACAACACTTGGCACAGAAGAAGGCCTGAGACTCTTAGATTCCGTTGCTGTCTCCCTTCTCCACTTGTCACAGAGACTCTATAGAGAAACCAAATAACCAGGCAACACCCCATGAAGCAGCACCCTTGTCACATGCTGTCTAGGGAAACAGATTCAGGCAAGGGTCCACATGCACATAGTTGGTCACTGCCCAAGTTCTTCCACCCTGTGACCACAATTTCTTGGAACCATTTTATCCTAAAACATCCAAAGTGAGGCGTCCAAACCCTTTTACCATCTCCAAGAGCCAAATCCATCAAGGATGATGGAGACAGTCACAAGTGTTCCTTGACTCTTTAGCCAGCAGCATGCTATCAACACAGTGACAGTCTCTTCTACCAAGAATATGAGACTTAATGGGAAACACCCAGAACCTACGGAACATACTGAGCAGAGAAAAGACCTACCAAATCTTAGTACCACTGGAAAAAAGGAAAAGCCCACATCCCAAAACTGCCCAAATTTCTTTGCATACTTTCCTTCAACTGTCACATAATACTCACATTTAAGAAAATATCACAAAGCCTGATAAACCACACAGGATTTACTCATAATTCTTCCATAGGGAAAAATAATACTCGATCTGCTCTGGGGGCAAAGACACAATTCCATAATCATCCTCTGTATAACAGAACCAAAGCTCCAGAATACTCACTTTTAAATCTACACATTTTAAATGTCCATAACAATACACGTGCAAATTATACGAACTACTACCACAAGGAATTTAGATGAGTGGTTAAGAGAGGAAAAAAGCAAAACTTCAAAGGGAATCCTGATTATCTGGAATACAAAGAAGAAAAAATACAACCAAACAGTTGACTTGGGAGATGATGAAAGGCATCTGTCCCTTCTTTCAAAGACTTCTTTTTTATAGTTACAAAAAATGCGGACCTTCTAAAATCATTCTATCAAAGGAAGTTAGAAAGAGCTCAAGGTAGAATAGGCACCACTAACAAGCCAGTAAAACTTGAGGACAAGACCAAGAAAATGGGCAAAATGAAACAGAGACTCATAAGAACTTAAGAGAACTGGAAAATAATAAAGACATTCAAGAAATAGAGGAGCTCTAACATCGAGTTAACTGTCACTTAGTAGAAAAAAAGTGTGACAGAAAAAAAAAAACCTGGAGATACAGTTCAAGAAAAATTTCCAGGAATAAAAGATTTAAATCTATAGATTATAAAAACCCAGCCATGTGTACACAGCTTAGTAGAATTAGTGAACTTGGAAGATGAAAAAGAACCCTCTTGGCCTCTAGTCAGAAAGATGAATTTGTGTATAAGGGTAAAAAGAAGTTGCTGACTTCAAACTTCCACATACCAAAATTCAACAAGAGAAGTCAGAGGTGCAATCGGGGCAAAGACTTCAGAGAAGGGAAGTGAAGAGGAAGAATTTTATACCCAGCTAAACTGCTGCTCAAAAATCAATGCCACAGCCTGCCAGAAATGCAGCAACTCAAAGGACACTATCAATCCACCCTCCCAAAGAAACTGTTCAAGGGTGACTGTAACTGAGAGATAGCCAAAGGTGTGGCATTGAGAGTAAATTCACTTAGCTACAGGATACAGTTGGCATGACTGTGGTGATTAAAACTGCAGGATAAAATGTAAATGGTGTCAACTAGTCAAGGGCTAAAAGCAAAAGGGAAGGACATGAGGAAGTGGGTGAAAGAAAATCTCTGAAAGCTGAGTTCAAAGCATAAGTACATTTAAGAGCGTGTAAAATATAAACACTAGAGCTGGGTATGCTGGCACACACCTGTATTCCAGCATTCAAGAGGCAGACACAGGACAGCCGTAAGTTTGAGGCCAGCCTCAGCAACACAGTCAGCTTAATGTCTAGCCTGGGTTACATCACCCAGATCACATTTTAAAAAAAATAAAATATATGAGCTAGAGAGCTCACACTGGTGGAGAGGTTCAAGTGGTGGAGCAAGCCAAGAGGCTCTGAGTTCAAACCCCATCACCACCAAAAGAAAAAAAAAAAGAAGTAGTAGAGGGCTAATATGATCCATATCATGATTTAAAATAAAGGAGAAAAGAATGTTGGTTTTATCACAGCTTTTTTTGCTTTGTTTTGTTTTGGGTGGAACTGGGGTTTGAATTCAGGACTTCATACTGGCAAAGCAGACACTCTCTGGCTTGAGCCACCCCTCCAGTCCATTTTGCTGTGGTTATTTTGGAGATGGGGGTCTTAGGAACTATTATTTGCCCAGGCTGGCTTCAAACCTCAATCCTCCGGATCTTAGCCTCCCAAGTAGCTAGGATTTCTGGCGTGAGCCACTAGCACCTGACTTGGTTTTATCATGTTTTTAAGAATGAACAAACTTGTCCAATCAATAAACGTAAACAGCCTAAATCCAAGCAATTAAATGAAAAGTATATGACACTGGATCACAAAGCAAAGCTCAGCCACTGAAAATAAGCACATAGGAAAGTGCAAAAATATATACACTTACAGAAATGATAATGTATGGTCTAACTTAGGTCAAAACAGTGAAAGTTACAAAGAAGGGCAACTTAACATCTACACAGTACATCCATACTGGAGATTGAGATGATCAGAAAATACAGCAAACACAGGGCTGGACATTTCGATTCCTTGTCTCTCAACAGCATTCTTATACAAGCAACTAATTAGAAAATGCATTGGAAAAAAAGAGTTCATTTAAAATGCCAAAATGCTGCAGAGAAAACTGAAAACAAATGTATAAATTCTATATACAGAAAACTTTAAACCACCACTAACATCCAGTGACCTCTTGCTACATTAAACATGTGTCTGCTGCCATGGTTATACATGCCTGAAATCTAAGCACTCAGGAGGCTGAGGCAGGAGGATCTCAGTTCAAGTCCAGCCTGGGTTACATGGTGAGACCCTATCACAACAAACAAGTGAAAAGCTTCTCTGTATTGTAACAGAGACCAATAAACAAGTCGGAAAAATAAACTGTATTTGCAGTACATATCTCCTCAGCATAAATGAGCTCCTGTTCAGTAATACAAACTAACTGTGTGACGAGAAATATGAATAGTTCTGCAACACACACACACAAAAAAAACCTGCTCAAAGGTCTGGGGCAAGGTTTAAACTGTAGAGGGCTCACCTGGCCCTGAATTCAAATCCCTGTACTACCAAAAAAACAAGCAATGACAACAACAAATACTGCTCAAATCTCATTTATAAGAGAAGCATGAATTAAAACTAAGTTAAACATATGAGTTTGGCAAAGATCAAAAAGTTTACTTATATTCTTCTGGTGAAGACATGAAAGAAGAGGCAGGTTCATACACTGAACATAAACTGACATGATCGACATGGAAGTCAATGGAAC